TTGACGGGTTAATCATTTAACAATAATACCATCAAATTTAAATGAGCAGACTTCAGTTTTTATCTCCACGCCCTTCAAAGTAAAATTTTAAATTACTCGACGTTAGTTTCTAGTGTTGATACTCAATACAAATTTCACGAAAATAATACATTTTTTTATTTATTTTTCGTACGCCTAAAACCTATTTTATATTAAAAGAAGGCATATGATGCACACAATTCTAGCTAATAATGATCATTGTATGTTGGATTTGACGTGAAATCGATTCTCAAGGTTGATGAATAAGTTATAGTTAGGAAAGAATAAAACGAGGGGTGGACATTTTCAAATTATTGATATTTTGTGTATAAAAGTCGAATCAAATTCATGCTGAAATTTAGATGATCAGTTAATTATCGATCAATAATTAAAAATTATATTGAATATGAATTAATATTACCTATCTCATTATTATTATTAAAAAAAAAACAATGAAAGATCAAACGGCGCTGTAAATAGGCAATACTGGTGCATTCGTGAGTTGTTGAAAACGAATATCTTGAAATAAATTGTTATTAAATCATTGGCATACAAAATTAAATTAAAAATAAAAAGTTTCTAAATAGAGCTAGTTAAACTGTGCTAGTACCGATGAGATTTGTTCTTTTAAATGTAGCTCAGTGTTAAATCTGGATTTTTTTGATAATTGCGTGTAAAAATCGGAAAACTAAACAAACCAGAAAATCGTTTTCCGAGAAGAAAACACATTTTAGTAAAATAAATGTAGCTTCTTCGGTATTCTTGAAACCTAAAACTGGCAGCATATATATATTGAATATAGTTTAAACTAATACTAGCTGATTGATTATAAATAATTATTTAAATTATATTCTAGTGGGACCGAAATAAGAGGCCTTCCGATTATATATAATTTAGATTATCGTTCTATCGCTAAACCACCAATCTGAACTTTATAATTAATAAACCATTAGGTTGCAATATTAGAGGTTAATGTGCGTACCGAGGTTATTTGAGAAAAAAAATCAATCTAGGTCGTAACGAATTATACGATAGTCTTTTATTAAAAATTAGGCCTATCTATTTATTCGTAAATTTAACAGTGACGTGACATTCATTTCAGTGCCTGGCAAGTTTTTATTTGTATACAATTATAATAGAATATTTAAAAAAAATTAAAGATATATTTTAACGCAAGAAAAATTGTGAAAAATAATAGATTTACAAAACACAACAGATTTCTTACTGTATATACGGCCCTGTATACTGCTATATTATGGAAATACGGTACATTTCTAAAATATCCTTTAAATAATTAATTGTAACAATTGACCACCCACCCCCACCAAAAAAAAAAAAAAAAATTAAATTTTCAAAATTATACTGATTGATTTAATAATAAATTATACGGCGGGCTTATATTACGACTGCTGTAACTAAATAAATTTAAGCCAAATCACGTGCATAAACCCGGTTTCCAATGCAGTATGAACTCCTATATTGATATACATAATAATTCGATAAGATAAGTAAATTGGATAAATACTATTTTTGCCAGCTTTCTATGCCATTCGCCCCACTGTGCGTATGAGAAAAAAACAAATCTAACAAATAAACAAATCCGCAAGTTTTAGAAAATAATTGTCTTTTTCTTCTTTCTCGGGGTACAAAAGTCTACCACTTTTGACTTGAAACCAATAATCTTAGCAGTTGAAGAGTATAAATAAATACAAATAAGTCTTAATTATGAACATGGAAACATTACTTTATACATTTAGACCTCCAGCTACCTCTATATGATGTCTGTTCTTTCTTATCTGATCCTGCTCTTTATTATTTTACATATGTCTTGATTACCTCTTTTACTTAATTTTTTTATTTTTCAATGGGTTTTTCCCAAAACTTCAATACTATTATTATTGAACCTAGTAGGTTTTCGATTCTCCAGGCTTATTTATGCCAATATTGTAAAAAGCTCTTACTTTCGAAGACTTCTACCGTGTTCGATTTCTAACACAATGATTCTAGTTATTCGTGCTTTCTTGTATTTTCCGCTCATTGGTTTCTTAAAACTCTAAAAATGTTCCTTTTTAAACGGTAGAGATAGGTTTTCATAGGTTTTATTAATTTCAAAAACTTAAATAACCATAATAATTTAAAATAACAAAAAAAATAATTGTTAATAACAATATGAAAACAAAGCTATTAATTACTTAGATAGTTTAATACTATTTCCAAAATACATTTTAGTTTTTACATTTCAGAATATGTTGGATAGGTTTAAGTTATCATATTCTCATAAAAATGAAATATATTATGTTTATTTGATCAAAATTAAAATTAAAATAAATTTAAGTAGTCTATAGTAAGGCAAAACGAAAAAAACTAATGTTAGTATTTTACAATATATGAGAGATTCTTTCAAAATACTGATTGTTATTAATGTATTGTGTGGAATATTGTAATACTGCTTTCTATTTAAATCGAATTAAGTAGCGAGAGAGAATATTAAAGAGGTAGATTATAGGTAAATACCTTATCGTTTAATTAATCCCCGCGGCCTTTGTTATACGAATAACGCTCGAGAGTTAAATATACATAGGTACTTACTTATATGTAATATATTTTTGAGGAGGAGACCCCACATATGGCTTTTAGACGTAGATTTCACCGGGGGATAACCTATATTTACGTAGCTCACCTACCATTAGCCTGGTTATAAAATAATACTATATGTTTCCGTGGTTTTACAAGAAAATACCGAGTTTAATAATACGAGTAACATATTGTACATGTTGGAATACGTGGTATACATAATAGTATACACCTAAGTAGAAATTTCAATATTGTTCTCTCGTATTCTTGCAGAGGTGGCGAGCAGATTTAAGCCAGGCGTGCATATGCCTAATACGCGATTTGTTATAAAAATGCCCAAACTCTACATGTCTCAAAGTTAATACCTATATCACGTGGAAATGTAGGTAAAATAATAACAAAAACGCTGTGACATTAATTTATAAAATATATTATTATTACATTAAACAAATGCACGCGTACCTAGGTAGGGGGAAGCATATCAATATATCGTTATATCGATATATTTTTATCTATGATAATATCAGTGATATTTAAGATGAGCATGGAATTAAATTTCTTAAAATAAATATAAAATAACCATTATATCAATACATAGTTTTAATTTTTTGTCGGATAACAAAAAAGTATTAGGTAATGACATTAATCATAATATAATAGATGTCCCCACTGTGTTAGTTAAATCTGAAGTAAACAAAAAATAACTTGCTATCTTATTACTTATCTGTATAATAATTTTTTTTGATAGTGTAATCTAGGGAAAAATATTTTGTAATATATTTCAAATTTCAATTATCGCTTACTTGTAATACTATTTTTTAAATTCTTCTAAACAGTTGATTGATCAAATTTCATATCAAGTAGCATACCTTACATATTCGTTCAATTCAATTAAAATTGTGTATTATATTTATAGTTGAATTCAAATACAATTTAATATATGATATGTGTTTAAATATCGAAATTTAGGTTTTAAATTTTAGGTTGATAATATTAGATATATCGTTTCATCATTCTTATATATTGATATATTTGAAATTTCTCCTACATATATTTATATATATATATATATAAGGGACGCGTATGAAATTAACAAATCAATTATATATATAAACTTCCCATATGTTACGTTACGGTCTTCTATTTTTTATTAAAAAAGAAAGGTTTGAATACATGATAATTTGTCTATATAAAAATCTTCAAATCACTACAAAGATCATTTCAAGTAAATTTTTTTTTTGTTATTTATAAGAGGACATATTAAAATTCCGTAATAATCATACTTATGAATATTTTAACAATTTTAACTTTATCCTCTATTTGAATCGTAATAATTATTTCAATTATAATGAAGTAAAAATATACAACGATATTATTAGAGCCTACACTTCTATATACATATTTATGTCTGTGTGAAACACGGACTACCAATATAGAAACACTGAAAAAATTCTGATAATAAAATATAGAGGACAAAATGTGGTCCAATTTAACAAGAAATGGACGGGAGAAAGACAATTTCACAAAACGCTATAGAAGGAGGTGGGAATGGCATCAGTCATTAGTATCATGAGAGAGCAAGTGATTTAATAGTTGGGAAATATCATGTGTGTATTTAGCACAGTATAAGTAGAGCAGTGATAATTGGAACCCGATTGGAAAAAGTCCCGGAGGTTACCTCAGAAAAATATGACTGGATGTCATCGAAAGGAAACTCAATTGGAAGTGTAAGTATAAAAAGCGATAATTCAAGATTGAAATAATCGGAGGGAGATTGTAATGACGGCGAAAATTCTTAGTAAGCATGAACTGCCGGGAAAGAAGAAGACATAAAGTATTATTTTTCAAATAGCAACCCGTGTTTTCAAGTTCAGGTTCCAAAAGTGAATTTTTTTCTTTAAAAGTGATATAATGAATCGGATTGAATTATGTAATATGCGTTACTTATGTAATTCAGGTCACATAAAATGATTGTATTATGATTGCGTAAAACAAAAATAAAAAATTCTAACTCATTGAAATCATCATAGAGATAATTGTCTAACTTAATCTAATCGCCGTGTTAACTATATATTATTATAAATAGGTACATAAAAACATTTTAATCGATAATGAAAATTGGTATGCATATTTCGATAGTAAATTACGAAAACATTGAAGTTTATATCAAAACAAAACCATAGAAACAAATATTATGTTTAATGCTAATTTTAAAACAACGAAAATACAAATCCGTGAGAATTATGTCAGATAATGTATTCTTGTAGATTTATTGCGGCCATTTTCAGTAAAAAAAAAATAAGTCATACCATATAATATTAAGATTCTTGACATGTTTTATGTTATTTACGATGACCGTTGTTACATAGATACAATAATTATACGTATATTATAAAGCCACACTCTCATACCGCAATATAAATTATGACAAATAGAATCTTAAAACAATGTTGTACAATAAGTGTAGTGGGTTTTACACGGCTTATAATAAACGTAGATGAGATAACCGTCCATCATTGACAGAAATTAAAATTCTTTTCTTTTTTTTTTAGGAAAGAATTTACGAATATATTTATACATATATGTACACATTATTTCCATTAGTTCCTGATCGAAAATTGAATGTATTTAATTAACGACCAACGTTCCAATTATTTGTTTGTTAATAATGATAAGAAACTATGAGTCATATCATATAACAAAAAGAAAAATAATAATAAAATCATCGTAACAAACATTTCTTCGAAATAATGTTCGGCATAATTTTTTTCTTTTTATAGTATTATAGAGTCTATAATATAGAGCATCTTATTATTGTGTTCCACATTAAGGAAAACATTCGTTACCAAACAACGCCCATAATACACGCCCGTATAGTGTACATTGATACCTATATGCTATGTCATATACTCCTTTACAGTATATAATATTTAATGGATTGAATATTCGGTTCATTCGGTGCATTTTTAAATATTCGTTTTTAATATTTGTCCGGCGATTAGTTGTTAACAAATATTTATTATACGTGTATGATATACACTGTGTACTTTGTCTGTTATCGTTGGTATATTATGAACATTTTAATGTCAAAAAAAAAATTAAATAGTTATATAAGCTATAAATATCTTAGTCAGAACATACGTCATAATATCATATTGCACATATAAGTAAAGGTGGGCATTTTAATTAAAATCACTAACTGTCGATTTAGTTAAAAGCATTCAGTTAAAAGTTGAAAAATAAATAAATTGATTTAGTTAAGTTAAATGTTGGAATGCAAACAAATATTAACTTAACTTGTAAAAAAAAGTCAATATTTTTTTACCAACAAAAATAAACGTTAAAATTATTCAATATAAAGTGATGTTTATTTATAAAAAAATAAAATAAATCAAACTATTACACAAAATAGTGATAAAAAATCGCTATAGGTATTATAGCTAATTAATGAAAAACTTCTTATGTGGAAAGAAATCATTCGTCTCTAACTCGATGATTTAATTGAATGTTCATACTATACATATTTTAGTTTATACAAAGAAAATTTTTTCATTACTTAAGTTATTCAGTTAGCAAGAACATAATTGACGGGTTATGTTAAGGAGTTAAACCAAAATTAACTTGGACTTTTTAATTAATTGATAACCACCATTACATACACAATGATTTAATGTGTACTATGTAAAATGTTGAGTGTTTTGTTATTTTTAAATGCTTTTTAATTACTAAGCAATCAATGATATAACTTGAGATGGCGAGATACTCATTAACTTGGAAGGTATTAACTTTATTTAAAATTTGTTTTTTAGATCATTTAAGAAATAAGTTGCTCCAAAATATGAACTTTCCATTATTTTTGGTCACCCGTATTTTAAGGGGTTAAACCATTATCTACTTTTGATTTTCAAATGAAAAATTCCATTATAAAACGGAGAATAAGTTAAAATACATTTTGGTGATGCAATTTTTAATTTCCGTCAACCAGTTGATGAGAAATTCATTCTACTTATAAGTTCGGGTAAGATGAGAGCGGTGGAACACTGTTAAAATGTCACACGCCGTATTAACACATAAATTATGCATCGTTACACTCCTTATGTCGATACTTAAAAGTGGAATAACTCGTTAACGGGTTGATGAAAATTAAAAATTGTATAATTAATTTCAATAATTTCTCCGTCTTCTTATCGCACAAATTAAAAGAGAAATGTGACATTTTAGAGAAACTTGTTTATAAATTGTAAAAAAAAAGAATGTTTTTACAATTTCAATAAACTTTGAAAAAATGAGTGTTGTAATCACCTATAATATTGTTCTACTATATATTAAACTGCTCTAAAAGACAAATTCTGAAAAAGTTAATATTTTTCGAGATATTGAGTGTCTTACGTTATGTTGATCACTTTGTATAATATATTCGTCTATTTTAAAACTTCTTTGTTACCGACGGTTATATTGTAATTATTGAATAAACACACTGGAAATCACATAGTAAGTTTTAAATTATATTATAGATACCCACGTTACATACTTAAATCTATCTATGACTATTATTCTACATATTAGATATACGTTAATCAATTTGAAAATCTTTACGTACGTAACGTTATCTTTTATCGATTGTATACTATTAAGACGGCCACTTACCTGAAACAAAACAAACAATAATTGATTAAAAAAATACTTGTGATATTTAATTTTACACAAGTATAAATATGATTAATGCGCATTTAATAGTTTATAAATAAATGGGATAAATATGAAATAAATAAATGAAACAACGCATAACATATGATTTGTCAAGTCTCGGATGCTATACAATTACTAAACTACCTATTAAAAGTGACATGTAAATTAAATTTACCGTTGAAACCATATAATAATTATGAAATAAATTAGAAAGTTTGGCACTTCAGGGTTAAAAAACATCAATATGGAACTTTATTATATTTTACCAAATCATTAACGTTCCTATTTCATTCAACTTAATTGAACTTAACTTCATTCAAGATATTTAAGATTGTTCATAGGTTTTAAAATAATTATACTTAGAAAAGAAATAAACACTCCTCTTTCTACACAAATACGTGTGCGTTGTTCGATTAAAAACAACAAAACGCTAGCGACATCTGGCGTTTTATAAGATATGGTACTCTACGAAAGTTCGAATTTAACTATAATACGAAATAAGTAATATTATAATCGTAAGTATTCAGGCATAAAACATACAGAAATAAAATATAAACATTTTAAAAAATTTAGTATTTAAATCAAAAGAAATATATAAAATATGAATTTTACTCAAAATTAAATTAAATATAATTATAATAGCTGAGTAGAACAAATCATAATTAATTTTATTTGACGTCTGAATTAATACTATTTAGAATATAATATCATAGATCATACATCCATACTTAAATTGGAAAACAATTTAATTAGATCACGTAAAAAACTATGAGCGTAGATACCTTAAGATTTAAATGGCATTCCATCATATCATAATATATTCATATTGTCCATTGGGCAACAGAAATTGTTTCGCTAAAAATTAAATTCCGTAAGACTTGAAAATTTATACCACAGAGTCGGTAATTAATCGATAATTTAATTTTAAATTCTGCAATAGGTAGTAATGATTTTTTAGGGTTTTTTTATTTTTTAGTGTTGTATTACGCGATGACCGTTATATTATTTTAATAAATCTTATAGTAATGGAATAAAATACATTGATAAACAAAATTTCAGTTAGCATAATTGTAAACACACATCTTAACCGATTTTCGTTAATGTCGGCAATGTATTCTTTATACAATTTTAAGGTATTATACAACAAAATTTAATTTAAAAAAAAGAAATATAATGTAATAATAAAACAACAATGGTGGGTTTGGATATTAACAATTTGAAGGGGATATATTATTGGGAATATATTATGGAAGAAATCAAAGTTGGGCTGATTATAACATAGAGCTATTGCTCTTGAGAGGGATGAGTTTTTGAGCAAACTTTTGTGTGTGTGTAGCATATAAATATTATCATAAAACCATTCAATACTATACGATGTATTTATAAAGCGATTACGAATACAACTAGGTACATCGTACATATATATACACGTGTAAGAAAAAGTAAACACCGTTCATGGGTAGGCCACATTTGTTGGTTGGTAGTTGGTCGAGTACGATGTGCGGGGTAATTTAGTTTATATATTGTACGCAAAGATCATTCATTACAAAAGAAAACACGATTCTATGTAGAATAATATAAGTAGTATTTTTCCCTAACCACACATAACCAAAAAAAAAAAAAAAACCATGACGGATATAGATATAGATACTTCGTACGATGTGTGGGGCACCCTTGTAGATGAAAAGTTGAAAAGGATATAGAGAAAAAATGTGTTTATATTTGTACGCAACGATTAATTATTACAAACGAAAAACATTCTGAGCGAAGTTCAGTTATATATATGAATTTCGTAGGAATATGATATTAAAATTCTTATAAAAAAGAATATGTATTATAATGAACATCCTTTTAAATTTGCATGTTTGTTTGGTCTAACAATTGTATACCCAGAATATATAGGTACCAAAAAAAAGCTACGTAAAAAACTCGCACAATAAAAAAGTATATAATAATAGCTCAAAAATGGTTCGAATGTTTCAAAAATTTTACGTCCAGCAGAAAAGGCCAATATTAGTTTTTGTCCCAATTTCAAGTATCTAGAAATATTTTTAACTAAATCACAAAAAAAAAAAAAATAATAATAAATTGAAAAAATAAATTTCGTACATTTTCCCATATTTTTTTCCCGGTTTTTCCGAATTTTTAAAAAACCACTTAAAACAATTAAAAAATTAAGGAAAAGTTACTGCACATGAAAATCAGAGCAAGATTTCTTGGAGTAAAAATGTTCACAGATAAAAAAAAAAAATGGGAGAAATAAAAACCAATATATTCCTTTCTTTCCTTAAAATCTTAAAATCTTAGAAAATAACTGCTGAAAATGTTGATTAACGTTTCAAATAAAGTATTATATCGTTCAGAAATATCTGTATCTTTTTAATTATTACGTTAAAAAATTGGTTCATTTCCCTTTATAAATAAGGTTAAAAAAAAAAAAAAAAAATTAAAATAGCTTTTAGAAAGGCCATTAAAATTTCGATAAATTTCGATAATACAGAACCACCGGTAAAAAAACGCAAATTTTTTAAGTATATTCTGAAAAGATTAAAGTATTTTTACTAATCATAAAAGAGTTTTCTAAGAAAACAAAATAGAATAAAGATAGATTGTTCATGGGTGTGCCATGGTTTAAAAGAAAAATCAGAAAATATATCCCATTTATAAAAAAAAACTACAAGAAAAATAAAAAAATTACCCTCTTTAATGGACCAACTGAAGAAAAAACAAACAAGAAAGGTACTATAAAGATCATAGTATAACAAAGTTACTTGTGTATGAGTGAAAAAAAATTCATCTTAATAAAGATAAATATTTCAACGTTATATTGAGAATTTCAGATTATGTTGGACGAAATATTATGTTTATAGTAAATACCTGCGCTATCTAGTGTTTTTTGTGTATGGTATTACTGAGCGCCATCTATACCCAGTGGTGAAATTATTAAACTCGCTAACTTTTTCTCCACCAGAGGGACAACTATATATACATTTATATTTTAGAATTAA